CTTGCTCTATTATGCTTTTGCTCTCTTGCCCTTTTACTCTCTTACCCTCTCATACTCTCTCCCCCTCTCTTCTCTCATTCCTGCTCTGAGCTGTGTTTGGCAGCTCCCAGCAGGGCCCTGCACCCAGGCCCTTTGCAATAAACCCCAAGTTCCACGATCTGACTCCAGAGATCTCTCGTCTCCGTCTGTCCCGACGCTCCTGCAGGCAGGGATCCCCCCGTGCTTCCCCCCCCGAGGGCTTCTCCTGCCAGGCTTCGCGGTACAAACATCCCCCCCCATCTCCCATCTGCGCCTCCACCCTCCCTGCCCTGCCCTGCCCCGGGCACTGCTGCTGTCCCGCTAATTGCCCGGGATCAATTATTCATTGTGCAGTAATGAAGCAGGGCGAGGGTAGAAAACCCGGCTGAGCATCGAGCCCTGGGCTCTGGCTGGCCTCGCTGGGTGAGGAGCACAGCTCGGGGAATGTTCCTTGTGAGCACTTTCACAATGACTGCCACGAAGACTTTCTCAAGTTTTGGTAGTTCTGCTTTGCATTTCTGGCTCTGCTTTTTTCCCCTCAGCCCCGTGCTGTGCTTTAGATGCTGTTCCCTCTAGCTGGGAGCTTCCTTGGTTCTTAGAAGTCACTTTTAAATCCTGAGCTGCTCAACAGCCTTTCACAGAAGTTTCCAATCTGGTGGATCTGGGCACAGTTTGTCCCATGCTAAGAACCCAAATTGAAAAATATTTTCCTTCTGCTTTAGGAAAGATCTACTTTGGAAAGATTGGTTTTCCTGGATGATGTGGGTGCTCTTTTTGCATCAGCTGCAATCCAGCTGGGGTGGGATATTGCCTCCAGCACAGGGAACCCACTGCTGTGTGCATCTCTCCCAAAATAACCTTGGTCTCATTCCCATGGAGTTAAATGCTTCTGGGGACAGGTGAGGCCTCTCAGACCAAAGGTCTTTGAGGGGCAATAGGAGCCAGAGAGGGACACAGGGAGGATGGAGCTGCCATCGTTGGGGACAGCCACAAGATTGGCTCCTCCTGCAGAGTCCCAGGAGGTCCACCCACCCTTCCTGGGTGAGAGCACATCCCTTGCTCTCCTGCTACATCCATGTCCAACAGCTGCAGGGACTTCCCTGCTTTTCCCAATCCCTGCTTTTGGCTGAGGAGGTACCTGGGTGCGGGGCAGCTCTCTGAGCTGGGTTTTGCCTCCATAAAAGAAAGAGAAAACCTGAGCATCCCCATCAGGAGCCAGGAAAGGCTCAATTAAATATCCCTGTGGCCAGGCATTCCTTGAGCCACAGTGGCTCCATGACTGAGAGGAGCAGAGGCTTTGAAATGAGAAGCTGAGAGCCTCAAAACCCAAAAATCCCTGACCTCCCCTTGCTGGGGATTCCAGGGAATGCCACCTGTGCCAGCACTTCTGGCAGCACCAGGGCAAGGGCAGGGCAGGCTCCAGCTCTCAGTGTGCTGTCTCCATGGCTGGGGTTTCCCCAGCTGGAAGCCCCAGCTGTGGGCCACCAGCAAGGCCACATTATTTAAAGAAATGCTGGAGGAGTCAAGGTTGTGCTTGAACTTATTGAAATTTTCTCTGCTGGCGAGCTGGAGCTATCCTGGATGTGAGCAGCAGCTCAGAAAAACCTGAGTTTGAAGTACAGACCAAGGAGCAGGGAGTTTGCAGTTCTTCTGCTCTGCCTTGGTTTCAATAAAACTTTAAAAACTTGAAAAAAACCTAATTTTTGAGATAGTAAGTGATCCTTGATGGCAAAGAGAACCCAGAGAGTGGGTAACAGGTGCAAGGTTTGAGGATGTTGAAGCAGGCAGGGCAGTGTTGGCTTTTTTTGGAGTGTGTTGATATTTGCTCAATGGGGAGATCATTCTCAGGAACTGTCTTGCTGTTGCTCTGGTCTCAGTCCTATCATCCTCCTTCCCTAAAATGACCCCAGAGAGCCATCCTGGGCTTTGGAGACAGCTCTTGCTTCTGCTTTCTCTTCCCCTTCTCAGGAAATGCTGCCTTGGCCTCTCAGTCTGAGACAGAAACTGGAGGAGTGAAGTGTGAGATCCTCCAGGGAGGATGGAGTAAATCCCCTCAGCCCTGCCCCAGTGCAGACAGGGAAACCCAGAGGCTGGGAATGGCAAATCCACTTTGTTGGGTGCAGGGGAGGATGCAGGTGGTGAAAAAAGGGAAATCTGCACATGGACCTCAGGGACAGCCAGATGCTGAGAGCAGTGAGACCAAGGCATTGGGAATGGAGAAGTCCAGATGTTGGCTGCTGGCTCCTGAGCTGGTGCAGTGAGAGCAGAGGATGTTTGGGGAGAGTCTGTGAGGGGGAAGGACAGCAGCTCCCTCAGACAGCACCAGCTCTGCCTCCACTGCTGCTCCTCCAGCAGCCCCTTGGCCACATGAAGGGGTGAGAAGGTGCAGCCCCCCTCAGGTACTGGAGAAGCTGCTCAGTGGCTCCAGGGCCTAAAGAGGCTCCAGAAGAGCTGGAGAGGGAATTTGGACAAGGGCCTGGAGTGACAGGACACAGGGAATGGCTCCCACTGCCAGATGGCAGGGATGGATGGGATACTTGGGAGGAATTCCTGGCACAGGGTGCCCAGAGCAGCTGTGGCTGCCCCTGGATCCCTGGCAGTGCCCAAGGCCAGGTTGGCTGTGGCTTGGAGCAGCCTGGGATAGTGAACCTCATGGAAGGGGGTGGGATAAGATGGGCTTTAGGTCCCTTCCAACCCAAACCATCCTGTGAGCCTGTGAAACCTGGTCACATCACCATTCTTGAGGTCCCAATCAGCTTTGGGCAGCAAGGTGGCCTTGGCTGATGAAGAGCTGATAAAATCCCTGGTGCTGATGCAGTCCCAGCCAGGAGCAGCTCCGTGGGCTGGCAGTGATGGCATTGCTGCCTCTCCCCAGCTCAGGTGATGCTGAGCAGAGCTCAGCCCTGTGCAGACAGCATTTCACAGCCCTGGTGATGCTCTCAGCCCGACATGGAACCCACCCTGGCTCATGGTGAGGCTGCTGCTCATCCCCTCCATGCCAGAGAAGAGCAGCAGAGGCTCTGATTGAATTAGTGCAAGGATTTAATTTAATCCCCAAATGTCTCTCATTTTAAAGGAGCCTGTTCATTTCCTTCTAGGACCTTATCAGATGCAGGCACCCAGCACTGTGAGCAGGACTGGGCAGGGAGGCAGCGTTGGGGGAGGGCTTTGTGGGCACTGACTCCAGGGCTGTGTGGGTTTTTCCTCTAATTATTTCATGAGATAATGATGGCAGTGATTGCAAGACAAATAAAACATCAGCAGCATCATTGAGGCAGCTCTGGTGCAAATGGGCAGCCTGGCAGGGCAGGGCTGGAACATTCCCTTCTTACAGGGAATTAATGTGTAATTTCACCCCAAGGGTGGGTGAGGGAGCATTTGCTTTGTGCCTGACACCAAATCCAGCTGTTTCATGGGCAGAGTGATGCCATGAAGGGACCAAGCACAACGTGGTCTCTGAATTTGTGTTCTGACTCTCTGGGGGAGTTGAGGTGATGCTGAATTGCTGCTGGGTGAGCCAGGCTGGGTGGGACAGAGCTGCTGCTCTCTGTGCTGCAGGTGCCACAGGGACCCTTTGGGTGTGATAAACCAGGACAGGGCACAGCTGGACACGTGTGGGCTGTGGCACTGAGCTCCAGCACCTTCCTGGAAACCTGCCCAGCTCTTTGCCCCCTGAGCTCAGGCTGGGGGGTGTCTGTGCTGTCCCCTCTGTGCACAGGGGGCTCACACCCCCCACCCCTGGTGTTTCCTGGAGGTGACAGCAGTTCTGCAGCCCAACATCTGCACACAGCTGCCTGGGGATGTCCTGGATATCCCCTCTGTGCTCTGGGGGATGAGGGGTGTCCCCTGCAGGGTGGCTGTCCCTGGGGTGCTGTCACAGGCTGGGACCTCCATGGGGATGGAACCTCTGTCCACTCTGTGGGTGCCTCTTCCCAATGGGATGTGAGGCTGGATGGGCTGACTCCTGGGGCTGCTGCTCCTTTTGAAGCTGAAGTCAGGGGTGTCTTTGTTAACTCCAACTTGCTGGTGTCACTGGGTTTGTGAAAATGCGTGGATCTCAGCTGGGGATACAATGACTTCTTTTCTGGGTGATTTGTTAGCTGGGGATGGTCCTGTGGAATAGTCCCTGCCCCAGGACCTGTGTAGGAGGGAATTGCTTCTTAAAGAGAGGATTTTTTCTCCTTTGGTCTCTTTTTCCCTGCTGGGCTGGTTTTGCCCCTTTGGCTTAGACACAAAAATCACACAGGACCCTGCTCTGGCAAGGGAGGGCTCATCAGAGGCTCCCTCTGCTCACAAAAACAACCTTGGAGCTTCTTTCCCTTGGACTTTTCCCTTTGAAAGGACAGAGCTTGCTCAGGCCTTCCCCAATAGGCAAAGAGACCTGAAAAACCCATCCCCAAAGGCACAAACCCTGGCAGGGGCTGGCAGGAGTGGCTGTGGTTTTTTGGGGCTTGCCCAGAGCTCGGGCTGAGCTGGGGCAATGCAGGGATGGGCAGAGCCCGGCGCTTCCCCTCGGCCTTTGATGATAACGCGGCACAGGAGGGGCCAGAGCTGCCGAGGAGCTGCTGGGTTTCTCCGCAGCCCTGGGGGATCCCGGCAGGGCAGCAGCTCCAGCAAACATCGGGGTGAGGATGCTGCCACGGCTCTACCTCTGTGGCTGGAGCCCAGCTGGTACCGTGGGATTCCTCAGAATCCCCCTCAGTGGGAGCTGAGTGCCACCATCCCGCCCTGCCAGCTCGGGGACCTGGTGTTGCAGGGCTCGGGAGCAGGCCTGGGTGCTGACAGCAATGGGTGACTTGGCACCACCTGAGGACGTGGGGACGATGCCATCCCACCCACCAGAGCACTCAGCGTTGTACAGATCGGTGCCAGCATTGTAGGTGGGGTGTGAGGAGGTGAGAGGCTCCTCAGGAAGGTGCCAGAGAGATGTGGGGATCTGAGGTGCTTCTGGTTTCATCCTTCCCTGTCTTCTCCTCTGGCAGATGCTGGAGACGGACGCCGAGAAGCCGGGGCAGATGCCCTCGGAGGATGGGAAGGCAGCAGTGGGTGATGCCCCTCTGGCTGCCAAGGCAGCGGCTCTGGCCGAGCCCTGGGACGCTCTGGGGGCCACCCAGGCTCCTCTCCCGGCAGAAAAGCAGCCGGTGGCCACGGCAAAGGGAGAGGAGCAGCCCGGCCCCCTGCCCGCCTTTGTGATCCCCGAGCTGCGGCTGGACAGCACCTTCAGCCAGAGCGCCGCGGGCACGGGCGGCGCCACGGACGGCGAGGACGAGGAGGAGGATGAGGAGGAAGATGAGGACGAGGAGGACGAGGAGGAGGAGGAGGACAGCGACGAGCAGTACCTGGAGAGGAACGAGCTGAAGCGCAGCAGCATGATCGAGACGGGCGGGCAGGCCGGCTACACCCTGAGCGTGCAGGGCTCGCTGCGGCGCCGCACGCACAGCGAGGGCAGCCTCCTGCAGGAGAGCAAGGGCCACTGCTTCACCTCCGACACCACCCTGCACTGCCCCGACAGCCAGGGCACCGCCGCACGCTGGGCCCTGCCCTCCCCCAGGACCCTCAAGAAGGAGCTGGTCAAGAACGGCGGCTCCATCCACCAGCTCACCATGCTCTTCTCGGGCCACAGGAAGGTACGAGAGCCACGCTGACCGTGTGCTGGGACAGCTCCTGGGCTGGAGGGGTCCTGCCAGGTGGTCTCTGTCTCCATGAGCATGGCACAGCTCCCTTCTGAGCGCTCAGGAGGGTCCCTGCCCCTGGTAGCAGCTCTGGAGGTGCCAGCAGCCGGGCATGGTACCCAGAGCAGCGTGCTGGGGCTGTGGGTGGCACTGCCACTGCTACACCCATGGCCTGGGCAGCGCTGTCTGCTGGGACTGCTGGTGGCTGAGTGCCCCTGGGGATCTGGGAATGCACAGGGAGAGTCCCTGGTGACAGTCCCCAGCGTGCAGGGGGTGCAGGAGCAGTGGGACCCTCTGCCCCAGCAGCCTTCTGCAGGGCTCTGACCATGGAGCAGCTGTGCTCAGCAGAGATGTGTGGCCCCAGCTGTGCTGCAGGAGGAGCAGCAGAGGCTCTGCTGAGGCAGTTCTGCCCAGGACTGGCCACTGCTATCCCAGGGTCTGGGGTGCTCCTGAGCCCCCAAAGCAGAGCTGGCCCTGGCTGCATGGTGCAGGAATGAGCTGCCAGTGCAGAGACCATTCATGGCAGTGCTGCTGTCCCCATCCTCCCCAGGTGGCACTGGCAGGGTGCTGGGAGTGGCCCCTGGCCCCAAACCCTGTTCTGCCCCTTCCCCAGCTCTGGGTGCTGCTCGGGGCTCTGGTGCTCAGCACAGGGCTGCAGTTCAGTGCTCAGGGTGTGCTCCCAGCCCAGGACCTCCTTCCACAGCCCAGGACCATCCCTGCTGCTTGGGAGCACCTTGCAGAGGCACATTCTGCTCCAGAGCCATGGCTCCTTGGCAGGAGAGGCTGCTGCAGACCCTGGGGTTAAACCCAGGCTGGGTTAACCCTTTTCCTGACATGCTGCTTGAAAAGCCACCCTGATGCTGTTTCCTGGAGGAATTTTTGGGCTCAGCTGGTGAGAGCCCTTCCCAGGGTTACACACTGCTGGGATGGGGCTGCTGTCTGCAGGGGAGCCCAAACTCTCCTGGAGACTGAGGCCAACAATTGTGTGCGGGAGGAGATGGAGGGTTCAGACCCGCCCCATCCCCGGTAAAGAAAAGCCACCCTTGTGTCAGGGACGCGGTCGCTGCCTGTCACACGTGCGAGGGAGGCGGCGACAGCGACAGCGCCGGCTGGGAGCGTCCCATGAGCGGTGCCCTGAAGGAGAGCTCACAGTGCCGCTGTGTGTGCAGCCCCGAGCCTGCAGCCCTGCATCCCTGCATCCCTGCATCCCTGCATCCCTGCATCCCTGCAACCCTGCATCCCTGCAATCCTGCATCCCTGCATCCCTGCAATCCTGCATCCCTGCATCCCTGCAGCCCTGCAACCCTGCATCCCTGCATCCCTGCATCCCTGCAATCCTGCATCCCTGTAGCCCTGAAACTCTGCATCCCTGCAGCCCTGCAAACCTGCATCCCTGCATCCCTGCAATCCTGCATCCCTGTAGCCCTGAAACTCTGCATCCCTGCAGCCCTGCAACCCTGCATCCCTGCCTCCCTGCAATCCTGCAACCCTGCAACCCTGCATCCCTGCAATCCTGCAACCCTGCAGCCCTGCAATCCTGCATCCCTGCAATCCTGCAATCCTGCAACCCTGCATCCCTGCAATCCTGCAACCCTGCATCCCTGCAACCCTGCATGCCTGCAACCCTGCATCCCTGCATCCCTGCATGCCTGCAACCCTGCATCCCTGCATCCCTGCAACCCTGCAATCCTGCAACCCTGCAGCCCTGCAGCGCTGCCCGGGCCGGGTGGGCTCTGTGTCCCTGCCGGGCACCCCGGTCCTGCTCCCCCTGCCCCGGGGAGCGCCCTCTGCTCTTCCTGCTCTCACCTGGGAGATGTTGTTTTCCCGACAGGTGAACGGAGCTCCTCCTGCGTTAAAGTGTTCTAGTGCATGTTAGACTGGGGTTTTTGGGGCAGGGATTGGCAGCCTGTGCTGGCGGAGAGGGCAGTGTGGCGGCTGCACCTCCTGCAGCTCCCAGTTCCAAGCCTGCAGCAGCTCTGGCTGCCTGGAGCCTAAATCCCTGCCCATGTGTTCTGCCTGTTCCTGCTGCCCTGCTCCCTGCTCACATCACCCTGCTCACACTGCCCCATTTCCTCTGCTCTGCTCCCACTGCTCTGCTCCCACCACCCCATTCCCATTGCCCTATTCCCACTGCCCCTTCCCACTGTCCTGCTCCCATTACCCTGTCCCCACTGCCCTGTTCCCACTACCCAATTCCCACTACCCCGTTCCCACTGCTCTGCTCCCATTGCCCTGCTCCCATCATCCCATTCCCATTCCCATGTTCCCACTGCCCCATTCCCATTGCCCTGTTCCTATTCCCCCATTCCCACTGCCCCATTCCCACTGCCCCGTCCCCACTGCCCTGTTCCCATTCCCCTGTTCCTATTCCCCATTCCCACTGCCCTGTTCCCATTCCCCTGTTCCTATTCCCTATTCCCACTGCCCTGCTCCCATGTCCCTGTCCCTGTCCCCACTGCCCCATTCCTGCCGTGCTCCCACTGTCCCGTTCCCCTTGCCCTGCCTCTCCAGCTGCCTGTGGAGGGAGTGCAGCAGTCAGGGAAGGCAGACACGGGGCTGAGCCACTGTGGGATTGCAGCCCCTGCCTACACTTCAGGAGCGCTTTCATTGCTCTGTGCCCTTGATCAGTTCAATGAAACCTCCCAGCTTTTTGGAGCAGGCCACTGATGCACAATTCCCACAGGGAATTCCCCACCAAGCTGTCAAGCACTGCCAACACCTGCACCCAGCTGCAGGGCCTTGCTGCAGGGCCATCACCTCCATCAGCCTTGGTTATTTTCCCATCTGGGAGTGTTCCAGAGGGGCTCATCCCACAGCCTCCTTTAACCCCGTCGTGCCCGCTGTGCCTCCCCGTCCCCCTTCCCGCGGTGGGGTTTGGAGCTGGATGTTCTATGGGCACGGTGGGGCGCCTGGGGCTCCTCGGGAGAGCTCTGCCGCTGCCTTTTGTCCCCGAGGCCGGAGCCTGTGCGGACAATGGCAGGAAGGCGCGGCCAGCCCGTCGGCCGGGGCCGCAGCGGCCGGGGCCGCATTGTTCGGGCCGATAAACTCCGGAAAGCGGGGCCAGAATGGAAGGAAATGTCCGGAACCCCGGGCCCGGGGCTGCGGGGCTGAGCGCTGGGTTCCCACGGCCCGGCCGCGGGGGATGAGCCTGGAAAGCGCCCGGCAGGGACACACAGCCCCCGGGGCTCTGAAACACCCCATGAGCGTGGGCCTGAGTGTCACCATGTCCCCTTGGTTCCATCAGGCCCCGCAGTGTCACAGTGTTCCCTGCGCTCCCTGAGGCCCCACACCACCCAGCCCAGGCCATTGCCCCGGTTCCAGTCGCTCCCAGTATGATCCCAGTGACCTCCAGTCTCACTCAATATATCCCAGTTGCCCCCAGCATGCTCCCAGTTACTCCCACTTCCTCCCAGTTGCTTCCAGCAGGATTCCAGTTGCCCACAGCTACTCAGTCACCATCAGTGCAGTTCCAGTTGCTCCCAGTATATCCCAGTTTTCCCCAACATGGTCCAAACTGCCCTCAGCGTGCTCTTGGTCACTCCCTGTATGATCCCAGTCCCCCTAGTGTCATCCCAGTTCCACCCAGTATGATCCCAGTTGCACCCAGTCACCCCTAGCACAGTCCCTCTCACTGCCAGTATGATCTCAGTGGCCCCCAGTATAGACACAGTCACTCCCAGTTGCTCCAGGTTGCCCCCAATATGGTCCCAGCTGTTCCCAGTGTTGTCCCCTCCAGTATGGTTACAGACACTCCCAGTACATCCCAGTTGCCCCCAGCATCCTCATTCCCAGTCACCCCAGTTTCCCCAGTATGGTTACAGTTGCCCCCAGGAGGAGCTCACTCATTCCCAGTATTTCCCAGTTGCCCCCAGGAGGACCTCACTTATTCCCAGTACATCCCAGTTGCCCCCAGGAGGACCTCACTCATTCCCAGTCACCCCAGTTGCCCCAGCATGGTTCCCCCTGGGGGTCGGGATGCAGGGTTGGGATGTGGGGCTGGCTGTGAGCATCTGCAGTGTGCAAGGATGGATGGAATGCTGAAACTCCTGGGCCATGGTGATCCCGTGGGTCTCCCTGCCTGGTGCCAGCCTTTGTGGCTGTGCTGGTGCTGCCCTGAGCTCATGGCACATCCCAGATCCCCTTGGTTTGTCCAGGCTGCCCTGGAGCAGTGGTCAGAGAGGACAATTGTAAACTGCAATGATATGATTCAATTATAGTTGACCTGCTCTGATTTCTCCTGCCTGGGGACTGCTGGGAACTCCTCATAGATTTTGGGTGCCCAGCCTGGTTCTGGGGGGCTCTGTGGGCAGAGGCAGGATCCCTGTGCCCCCTCAGGAGTAGGAGCACCAGGAGTGGGGATGTGAATGTCCTCCCTGTAGGAGGTTCCACTGTCAGCACCTTGAACCTGGAGGGTACCTGGGCTGTGGCCCTGGGATCTCCTTGGATGCTCCAGGAGCGCCACAGGCTGAATTGGCAGAGGATGAGGAGGGCAGGGAGGTTCCTGTGTCAGGAGCTTGTCCTGTGTCACTGCCATCCTGGGGAAGGGCCCTGTGGGTGCTGTGGGTGCTGTGGGTCTGGGCTGTGTGCTGTGGGTGCTGTGGGTGCTGTGGGTCTGGGCTGGGTGCTGTGGGTGCTGTGGGGATGCTGGCCCTGCTGGCTGGTGACACAGAGTGACACTGTGGGCACGTCCTGGTGTGATGACAGACACTGTTCTTCTGTTCCCCCAGCTGAGTGGAGCAGACCCCGAGTGCAGCTGTGACGAAGGGGACGAGACCTCCCGCAAGAAGCGCAGCAAGAGCCTGTAAGTGTCACACTGGGGGTGGCACCAGGGGTGCCAGGGCTGTTTGTGGGATCAGACACCTCGGCCTCGCCCTGCTGGAGCCCTCAGGATCCCTGTCTTCCCCCTGACTTTTTCCAGCAGCAAAGCCACGAGCTGGGGTCTCAGTTCAGATGGGATTATTTCCAGGGAGGGTGCGGGGTGTGCTGGGGGCACTGCCCAGCCCAGCTGGGAGCCCGCATCCCACCGAGCCCGGGCAGGGCGAGGACACTGGTTCTGGGGAAAAGCAGCGTGCCCGGGTTCAGGGAGAGGACATGGAAGCGCTGAAATCTGAGCTGGGGCCTCCTTCCCGCTGGCCCCATGCCGGGAGGGGAATGGGGAGGTGGGATGGGGAGGGTCAGGCTCAGCCCTCGCCGCACATCCGCGGCAGCGCGGTGGGAGCGGGGACCGCGGGGACCCCCGGGGACACCGGCAGCTCTCTGCTGCCCCCGGTAAGGCTTCGGGGTGCCAAGAAGTGGGTGCGAGCAAGGACAAGGCGGCCGTGGCCTTTGCTGGCCTCAAACGCAGCTGCAGCTGAGGGGGGCAGAGGCATGGGTGAGGATGTGCGGGAGCGAACTCTGCAGAACGGGGATCCGGCCGGGGGTGCCCGGGCCGTGTGCCCCGTGCCACGTGTGCCCGTGCCCTGCTCCCTGCTCAATCACCCCGCGCCCTGTGCCGGGCAAACGGAGCAGCTACACGTGCTCGGAGCGGCCCGGGCTGCGAGGGGGCCGCGCACGCCGCTGTGCCAGCGAGCGGCACTGTGGGCCCGCGCTGCCGCAGCGCTGCCGCCTATTTTTGGCTCTTTTATTATTTCCCCCCCCAGCACTGGAAATGAAAGCGAAGCCCTTGGAGCAGGGACGTCCCCGCGGCCGCGGGGGGAGGCTGGGCCCCCCCGGTCAGGAGAGGGCTCCGCTCACCTTGAGCGGCGGGGGATGCTCGGGGGATGCTCGGGGAGCGCTGGCAGCGCCATTGGCTGCGCCGCCCGTCCCCGCCGGCCCCGGGACTATTTATGGGGCGCGGGCCGCGGTCCGCACTGCTCCTCTCCCGGCACTCGCTGCCGGCCTCCATGTGCCACGCCATGGTGGACTTCTCGGAAAAATACCTGGAAAGGTAGGACAGCCAGCGTCCTGCGAGGAACGGGGATGTGCTGCCCCGGGGATGGTTTGGAAGCAGCGTGGGGTGATGGTGCTGGGCCTCGTGGTCATGCTGGGGTGCTAGGGCAGATCAATTTATAGAGGCAACCCTGGAGTGAAATCAGCAATTATTTTGTGGAATTACTTTTGCTGGGGCATTTATTGTGCAGTGTGGCCGCAGCTGGGGGCTGTGCTGCCCGTGGCTGTCACAGCCTGGGTCGGTGCCACCCCTTCTGTGCAAGGGTGTGCAAGAGGAGCAGCATGGGGAAGTTGGGGAGCTTCCTTGGGAGGTGTTTGCCTGGTGTGTTCCAGCTGGGAAGTCCACCCAGGGGCCAGGATCACCTGCCTGGTGTGTTCCAGCTGGCTTGGTGCCGAGGGCTGTGCTGTGGGGGTGACCGTCCTGTGTCACACAAGGGGTGTTTAGTGCTCTGCCAGCCCGAATGCTGCCCTGCTAAACTGGCACTGCTGGGAACAACTGGGAGCTGCTGCCCCGCTGAACTGCGAGCACAGTGGGATCGCTGCTCGGGGCTGTGGATGGCCGGTCCCGTGTGCTGGCGGGTTCCCGGCTGCCGGCGGCGCTGGCGGCGCAGCGATGGGAGGCAGATGGGGTTTGGAGCGTGAGGCTCCGTGTTTGGATCTGCTTTTCCCACATTAGCGGGTGCCTGGCAGCAGCGGGACGTGCTTCTGCTGGGATCACAGCCCAGGGGGTGTGAAGGCTGTGAAACTGTCCTTGAGGGTATGGATGGCAGCAGGGACGGGGGGAGTGATTGCCCTCTACGGTCATTCTGTGGCTCATTGGACTGAGCCCTGGGGTTGTTGCACCTTTTATTTTACCCTCCTGGGACTGGGGAGAGCTGTGGGTCTGGAGAACATCACCTGGGGTGGTGCATTCGTGCCCTGAACCCCTCCTGTCCCCCTCGTGTCCCTGGGCATGGCTTGGTCAGGTAGAGGTGGCTTCTCTGAGCATCCTTCCTGTGCGACCTTTTTCTGATTCTGCAAACATTAAATTTGCAGAATCAGAAAAAGCAAGAAGTGAAAACTGAAGCTGCTTGCCTGATAAGATGTTGTCAGATAAGGAGCTTCAGATTTAGGGGCCAGTGTCCATGTGTGTTGAGAAAAGACTGATGCTCTTAAGTTTTGATAAATACATTATACCCATAAGCAGTGAAACACTGTCTATGTGCACTTTGTGATGAGATCGAGGAGAGATACTTTAAATGGAAGAAATTAAAAACACAGATGGAAGCTGTAATTCTTTCCAGTTACAAGCGTTCCAGCCACATGTAATTAAGATAGCAATATACTTGCTTTTTAACGAGCGACAGATCAGTGCCATTGGAAGAAGACTGCCAGAAAAGGGAGTGAGAAGCAAGGCCCAAGCACTACAACTTGTCCTTGCTGCTTTTTTGGGGTTTTTGGGGGTGTTTGGTCCCCGCCGTGTCCGGGTGCAGTGACCGCGCGGTGCCACGCGGGGGCAGCACCGCCCGTCCCATCCCTGCCCCTGAATTGGGGGGGGGCTCCTTTTCCCACGGCGCTTCCCAAAAATCCGAAATCCGCACAGCTTTGTGTGCCTGCAGCTCCCGGGGGCAACCGAGACCCCCACGGCCGTGTGTCCCTCAGTCTGTCTGTCCAGGGATGTCGGAGCTGCGCGGGTGACAAAGTGGGGCGTCTTTGCCCAATGCCCTGCGCTGCCAATCCCGGCCAGCCCTTAGGGAAATGTCCCCCGGCCGTGTCCCGCCCGGGCTGGCACCGCACCGTGTGAACACCGTGGGGTGTGCGTGTGTGGGTGCCCACGCAGGGGCACACGGGGCAGCGAGGTCCCCAGTGCTCTCAGCCCGCTCCGCCCCGCCGCCGGCCCCGCTGCCTTCCCCGCGCTCTATAAATAACCCTCGTAAATCCTCGCCGTGATTATTTTTCCCCGCCGTCTCTTGAAAGGCCCCACTATCCGCCTCGGCGCTGATTTTTCCACCTTTCCTCAAGTTTCCCCAGCAACGGCAGAGCCGTCCCAGCCAGCGGCGGGGCTGACACAGCCTTTACTCACTCTCTCACACTCCCGGGCCGCCCCGGGCGCATTTAAAGCTCCCCGAGCTGCGCCCTCCCACTTCCCGTTCGCGCTGGAGCGCGGCAGGAGCGCGGCTCGGGCCGGCACAGCGTCCCCGCTGCCATCCCCGCTGCCATCCCCGCTGCCATCCCCGCTGCCATGCCCTTCTTCCGCGACCTGTCCAAGCCGCAGCCGCTGGAGTTCCACGCCGAGATGCTGCTGGCGGTGCAGCGGCCGCACACGGGCAGCCTGCAGCGCCGGCACACCATGAAGGAGTAGGTGCTGGCGGGCGAGGGGCCGCAGGGAGCCGCGGGTCCCCTCGCCCGCCCCGCTCACGCTCGCTCTTGTCCCTAGAGCCAAGGACATGAAGAACCGCCTGGGGATTTTTCGGCGGCGGAACGAGTCCCCCGGAGCCAACCCTTCGGGCAAGCTGGACAAAGTGCTCAAATCGCTCAAGTAGGTGCTGCGAGCGGGCGGTGCGGGCTTGGGGACCGCGGGGAAGGGGATGGGCATGGGGACCGCGGGGCTTGGGGACCGTGGGGATGGGGACCATCGGGGTTTGGGGACCTTGCGGGCTTGCGGACAAGCCGTGGTCTGGAGCTCCTCACCTCCAGGGAAGCTGTGTTCACCCCGTTTAGGGAAGCTGTGCACAAAGTTTTTGTGTCTAGAGGAGCATTTAAAATATTTTTTTGGATGAAAATCTCCTCTTGGAGGGTGAGAGGTGCTGCCTGCACAGTGGCATCGCAGCAGCTCGGGCTGGAAATTTACCTGACAGCAGCGTTCTCCCAGTGCCTGCCTATGGAACTTTAACTGGCCAGAGGATGGTTTGAAAAACCACTTTGCTCTGGAGATGCTCCAGCAGCTGGAGACAAGCCGTCCCTGCTCTTGCTCCTGGCAGCTTCTCTGGCTGCTTGAATGGGGCAGCTGAAATCCCACCTTTCCACAGCTCTGCATCACCCAGGGCTTCTTCAATTCTTCCTCAGACACTCCAAGTGCCACAGCTGGTGGCACAGACCCCTGGGGTTGGATTTTCTTCCTGCCAGCCTGAAGGCAGGGGTTTCCTTTGGGTGGTGCTGCCTGTGCAGAGCCTGGCACTGCCTTCAGCTGCTCTGCCAGTCCAGTAACAAGGTGGGAGCCAGGGCCAGCCCCTCGGGCACACAGCGTGGCTTTATCCTCTGGAAACATTTAGCAGGAGCTGATCTGGGAGCTGGGAGCAGCTGTGCTGGGCTCACAGCCTGGCTTTTAATCCACTGGAAATGTTTAGCAGGCAGCACAAGCAGCTTTTGCTGCTGAGCTTTGCCAACCTCTGTCCTTTCTCCACAGGCCCACTCCTGAGGAAGCACTCAAATGGGGGGATTCTCTGGAGAAGCTGCTGCTGCACAAATGTGAGTGTGTGTCCATCCCTTCCCTTATGTGTGCTGCCAGGGGAATATCCAGACACGTGCCTGGATAAAGCTGGGATTTCCTCTTTAATCCCTTCCGGAGCTTGGGGATGCACAAAGCCAAATTAGCCTCTCCCTGGTGTGCCCCCCTCCTGCTCCTGCCTGGCCCAGGGGGGATCTTGGGGACAGGGCCAGGGAGAGCTTCAGGTCGGGGTGCAGCCCCAGCTTGGGGAGGAGGGGTCAGGGATCCATGGCTGTGCCCAGTTTGGGGCAGTGCAGAGGGACCATGGAGCAGCTTTAGAACATCTGAGCATGGGAGGACAGCCCTTCTCAGGCACCCCATCCTACACCCAGCCCAGGGGGTGGCATGGGGACCCTGTCCCCACACCAGCCCAGCCTCCCTTCTGCTCTGGGTGCTGCAGCCAGGCTGGGGATGTGGATTCAGCTCCTGGATGGGCTGTGCTGCCCTGGCAGTGCCATCACTGCGTGTTTGCACAAGGGGGTTTTTGGGCAGTGCAGGGAGGGGGTTTGGGCTGCAGCTGTGCCAGAGCTGAGGCTCCTGTGGGGCTGAGGCTCCTGTGGGGCAGCTCCCTGGCTGTGAGCAGGGGTAGAACCGTGTCCCTTCTCCCACAGACGGGCTCGCTGCCTTCAGGGCCTTCCTGCGCACCGAGTTCAGCGAGGAGAACCTGGAGTTCTGGCTGGCCTGTGAGGAGTTCAAGAAGATCAAATCCCAGTCCAAGATGGTGTCCAAGGCCAAGAAGATCTTTGCTGAGTACATTGCCATCCAGTCCTGCAAGGAGGTGAGGGCTGGCTCCCACGCTGGCGTGCGGCTCCTGGCACGGTGCCTGCCTGGGGAGCTGCTCACCAGCCCTGGTTCCTCTGCCCACAGGTCAACCTGGACTCCTACACACGGGAGCACACCAAGGAGAACCTGCAGAACATCACCCGCAGCTGCTTCGACCTGGCACAGAAGAGGATTTATGGGCTCATGGAGAAGGACTCGTACCCTCGCTTCCTCCGCTCCGACCTCTACTTGGACATAATCAACCAGAAGAAGGGCAGCTCCCCGCTGTAGGCCCAAGGACTGTCTGGGGCAGGCTGGGAGCTGTGTGTTTACATGGAATTGGGCAGTGGAGGCCTTCCCAGGAGCTGGTGGGAGCTCGCTGTGCTGCTCGTGCCCCAGGCCGTACGGACAGGGGGCAGCTGAAGGAACTGAGCCGGGCAGGCTGGCACTGCTGCAGCCCCACCATCGCTGGTACGACGCCTTCGGGGTGGCCCCGGCGTGGATTTAGCCTGGAGGGAAGCTCCCACAAGATACTGTGAAGCACCTGCCCCAGCCAGGAGCGTTGCTGGAAGGTGGAGAGTGAGCCCAGCTCGGCAAGGAGGGGATCTTGTGCAGGGCTCTGGCAGGGGGACAGCAGCACCGACACAGATGTGGTCCTGGATTAAAGCCTTGTGAACTGGAGCAGTCCCGGGATGCTGCTGTGCTTCCCTGTGGGCCTCCTCCTTCCCTCCTGGGGCCTCTGGCAGGAGCCCGGCGCTTCCTTGGCTCGTGGTGGGTCCCCCTGGAGCAGCGAGAGCCGGGCCCTTGCCCTGTGCTGGAGGGTGCCAAGCACCCCCTCCTGCCCTCACCCCTGGTTTATTTATTGCCCTCCTGTAGCTGGACACGTTGCTGTGTGCTAGGAAAGCCCCGTGTCCTCCCCGTCCCCAAGTTACAAGTGCAATATTTGTGTGTGTCGCGGCCGATTCTCTGGCGGAGTGGATGCCTTTTTCTTTTTGCAGGTGTGTAGATTTTGTAAGGTAGCAGGTTTTGTGTGCCAGACCCATTCCCTGGCAGCGGGCCGCTGGGGGAGCCTGGTGTAAATATCAATTACTGATGCCCTGACGACGGAGGGTTTGGTGGTGGAGGAAAGCAGAAAAGCAACTCTGAGCAGCAGCCGCTCTCCTGACTCTGGATAACAATGCTGTGTTGGGAAGCAGGGGTTCCTGCTGGCCCTGGCAGGGCAGGGTGCACTGCCTGCCTCCCAGTTTACAGTGCAAAGCATCTCTGCAGCTAGAAACAAACCTACATTGTCATGGTCATAGGTAAATAAAAGGAGAATATAATTTCTTGTAGCTGGCTTTTGTTCGTGCCGTGTTTGTCAGCACCGGTGGAGCCAGTGCTGAAGAGTGTAAAATCCTGTTGCTGTGTGCCTAAAGAAGGGAAAATCTGATTCCATGAATTTCTGAGCTGTTTTTTATGATGGAGCAGCTGCCAGATGCTCCTGAGGCCAGGTCTGGGTGTAGGAGCAGAGTTTTGCCCAAAGTGAGACCGTTCCCAAGGCCGGTGGTCGCTGTTAAACACAGCAGGGCACAAAGCTCTGAGCAGGGAAATGCCCAAACACACCAGTGATCTCCTGCAGCTCCAGGTCCCTCTGGGACACCCCAAAAGCAGCAACAAAAAGCTGTTCCAGGTCTGTGCACAGCTTGGCAGAGCAGCTCCTCCCCAGCAAGGGCAGTGCTCTGGTGTGGGATGCAAATACTTTGTAAAGGCTGTTCAGGGTGTGTGTGGTACCTGAAGTGCCACCTGGTTGTGGTGGGCCTTGGATGGCTCAGGGGTGTGACTGTGGTGTCCCAGGGCCGTGCTGGGCTGTGGTGTGGCTGCCCAGTGCTGCTGGTGATGCCCAGGGCTGTGTGGCTGCCCCACCTGAGCACAGCTGTCCCCAGCAGGTGCCATCTCGGGAGAGCTGCCCGTTTTCCCTCTCCAAACCACCAGCAGGTGCTGCCAGGTGAGGCAGAGCTGAGGGCTCTGCTCAGGGCTTGGCTGGGCCAGCAGGGTTGGTGATGTGGCTGTCCTGGTTGCTCTCCTGGTGCCTCTCCTGGAGCTGCTGTTGGCAGCCCAGGGTCAAGGTCCATGGATGGGGTCCCAGTGGTGCCCCAGGAGCTGCTGGCACCCGGTGGGTGGGGGCACCCTCCCAGCTGCTCCTCCAGGCCAGCCCCTCCTCTTTCTCCTGGCACTGCCCAGAGCTTTCCTCTCCTCTCCTCCCCATCGGGGAGGGTTTCCCTGTGTGTCTGGACTCAACACAGATTTTCTTGCACCTGCCCCTCTCTCCATCTGCACCCTTCTGAGCTCCTCTCTCCATCCCAAACTGTCAGTGTTGGAAACTCACAGCAGGGTCCCTTCATTGTCCATTTTTCCATGTCCCCAGGCTCACTGGGGCACCCCCAGAGGCTCTGGGCTCGGGGGCTCTGTGGGCACTGGGCAGCTCAGTCCCTGCTGCCCCTTCTCCCTGCCCTGAGCACAGCCCCAGCAGCCCTGGTGCATCCCATGGTGCTGCTGATGCCCAGGGACATCCCAACCCCATAACAATGCTGGATTTTGAGCCTAAAACCTCCTTCCCTCCAGGAATTATCCCAGCCCAGAGAGGCAGGGAGGGCTGGGGCTGCCGTGGGAGGTGTGGGGTGGGAATTTGGTGTTTGGCTTTGATCCCTGTGGGGACAAAGGCCCCGTGGGGTGGGGGAATGAGGACCTGGGCTGACTCCCTGGGAAGATGAAATAACCCTGGGTGAGTGGCAGGAGCTGGGTTATTGCTGTAAGAGAATTTATTGCTGGTTCCAGGCTGGCCTGAGTCACTTGGCACACGCCATCCCCACGTGCCTGGGGACACAATTCCCTGGAAGGACAGCCTGGGGCAAAGCTGGGAGGGCCATGTGCTTTTTCCTTGTTTTCCTGGGATGGCCAGTGCCCCCTTAACAGGACAGGTCTCAACATCAACTCAGGTCTCCTCTTGGACTCTGTGGTGACACTGAAGCCACAGCTTTGTCCTCTCTGTGCTTTGGGACAGGGGCTGTGACAGCTTCTCCAAGACTTTGTGCTGCAGAGCAGAAAGTGTGAGGAGCTTGGAGCATCTGCATGGGAACAGCTGAGGGAAGTGAGCCCAGGGAGGGGGATTGTGCTGGGGACATTGGTTGGGGTGGAGATCCAGCCCAGGTTTGTTGGGGGACATTGGTTGGGATGGAGATCCAGCCTAGGTTTATTGGGATGGAGATCCAGCCCAGGTTTGTTCTGGGGACATTGGTTGAGATGGAGATCCAGCCCAGGTTTGTTCTGGGGACATTGGTTGAGATGGAGATCCAGCCCAGGTTTGTGCTGGGGACATTGGTTGAGATGGAGGTCCAGCCCAGGGGGACATTGATTGGGAAGGAGATCCAGCCCAGGTTTGTTGGGCATTGTTGGACATTGGTTGGGATGGAGATCCAGCCCAGGTTTGTTGGGCATTGTTGGACATTGGTTGGGATGGAGGTCCAGCCCAGGTTTGTTCTGGGGACATTGGGATGGAGATCCAGCCCAGTCTGTTGGGGGACATTGACTGGGGTGGAGATCCAGCCCCACTGCCCTGAGGGGACACAGGAGCTCTTTCAGGGACACTGAGCTTACAGCACAGAAGGGGAAGAGAAATGTCCTTCTGTAGCACAAAATCAAATATCCAGGACAAAATCCAGTCATGCCAAGAGAAGAAATTCCTGACTCATCAATGCCCCAAGCCTGCATGAAGGGAATGGGAATTAGGTATATCCCTAATTCCTAATTTGAGCCACAACCCAAGTGCCACTGCTACAGGGACATTCCCAAGGCAGCAATGCTGGGATCAGGGGGTCACCTGGCTGGGTTTGGCCCTGTGGGACGAGAGGGGACATTTCCTGCACTGAAGCCACCCAAGAATGGTGACACAGGAGCTGCTGCCTGTCCTGGGCTCATCCCGAGGATCAGGGATGTGGGGAAGAGCTGCCTGTGGACATCACTGGTGCTGCAGCCAAAGGGAATTTCCCAGTGTGGAAACCGGTGCCTTCCAAAACAGGGAGCAGCTTATCTCAGCAGATAACGAGGATTTATCTCTGGGCTAAAAATTAGTGGTTGCTGAGTTGCAAATAGCAGCAGCTCAGCCATGTTTGTTGTGTGCAAACAGGGCAAAGTCCAGCCAGGTGCTCCTTGTTCATCCATGGCACACAGCTCACCCAGATGAAGGCAAAGCTCCCAGGGAAGGGATTGATGTAGGAAAATGGCAATTATCACCAGACAGAGCTGAAAGCTTCAAAATCTGACGTTTTTGAAAAAGGTAAAATGTCCTAAGATCTTGGATTTAATGTGATGGTTCCCTCACATCCTCAGGGAGGAGGAGGTTGGGATGAACAAAAAGCACTTGGAGAGGTGGGAAAATGTGTCACTTGTCCTAGGTGATGGCCTTGACCCTGCAGGTGTCCCTCAGGTCAGTGTTGCATCAGCTGTCTGATGAGGCTGGCAGCCAGGGATGGGTGCTGGGGTCACCTGTGAGTCACAGAAGCAAAGGAAGATCTGAATGTGGCAGCTGCAAATGCAGCTCAAGCTGCCGAGCACTTCTGGCATGAGGATTTATTGGGAGAAGGGAATGAGGAGGGAGAGAAGGGAATGTGGCCATGCAGGTGAGCACCTGGGCTGCAAGGAGCCTCATTCCAGAGCTGGCTGAGCCAGGAGCACAAAGCTTTGCTCTTATTTCTACAGAAACAGAACTTTGCCTTTTTTTCAGGTGTGTCCTGTGCCCCAAGACACTCCAGCACTGCCCAGCCTTTACTTTTCCAGGGCACCATCCTGGAGGACAAACCTACCCAAATAAACAGAACTTTCTACTGAGCAAAATCATTCCTCGGACCCCTGATTAGACAAATGTTCTCAGAATAGAAGCAAGGCTGCTTTCCAGCCACAGACTAAACACAGCTCAGCAGTTTGATACTGAAACCACTGACACAAGAATTCCCTGCCTGGAGTAAACAGCTGAGCTGCTGTGACAGTCCCTTCAGGCTTATCAGGAGCAGCCTGAGCTCTAATTTGGGTGCTGAGGTGCCCAGGATCTGTCTGGAGCCCCACCACAGGAGCCCCCAGCTGTCTGCAGGGTGGGGATGGAGGTCAGCCCTGTCTGGCTTTGTTTGAGGCCATTGGCATGCCCTGGGTGTGATAAGGGTGCAGAGTCTGTTTGTCCTTCCTGCTGGGGCTGGGCTGGGCTGGGGAGGGGGTGCTCAGCTCATTGTCCTGCCCAGGGTGCCACAGGTGCCCTTCCAGAGCATCCCTGCACTGGGGCTGGCAGGACCAGTGCCACCAACCCCTGCAGGTGGCATTAATGATGTCACCCCCAAATTGTTTTTTGCAAGGGAGCAATTTTTGCAAGGGAGCAAATACAGAGAAAGTAAAAAGCTTCTGAGGTAAAAATAACACCAGACTCAGAGGTTTCTGTCCAGGATACAAACCCAGCTTGGCTGGGCCAGGGCCAGGGCAGGAAATGCAGCGGTGCTGGAGTCCCCTGGGTGCCTCCAGCTCAGCGGGGAAGCATTGTTGTGGCCCTCTCATGGCTCATTTTCTGATTCTTCCCTGCATGAGGTCATTTTTACTCAGCCCATGCAGCTCACACATGTCCTGGAGCTGGGGAGGAAAGCAGACAATGCTGAGTGCAGCCAGCCCTGAGCCTGGGGAGGATGGAGCAAAGGATGGTGGAAAATGCTTTCATTTGTGGCTGAGCAGGGCTGGGACACAGGGAGGGGACAAGGGGCACCTGATCCTCAGGGTGACCCCTGCCAGCACCCCCACCCCCTTTGTGCAAGGTGAGAATCCCAAAATCAGCTCCATCCCCCACAGGCAGGATGATTTTGGGGTTCCCACCCTGGGGAAATCAGGGATCCCCCATTCCCTGCTCCCTCCCTTGGCAGAGAGGAAGAAAAGCCAAGCAGGAGCAGGGGGGGCTGTGGATGCAGTGTTTGCACAGGAGCCATTTGCAAGTAATTTCTTGTCCCTTCCTGAACTAATGGGACAATTACTTGGGGCCCACGTGTTTCTCATGGAAAGTTCCACACGGGCCCTGCGTCATCTCCTCGGGGGAGCAGCCCTGTTGGCCCTGATGTGGTTTTCCAGACAAAGACAAGCAGGTGAAACTGCTGCTCCTGGGCCTGGGGACAGCTGGGATGGGTCACAGAGCACCAAACAAAGCTCCCAGGGCAGAAGGGGCTGAAAGCTGATCCCAGGGCCAAACAAGCTCTGGGATGGAGCTGCTGGGCTTGGCATGGAGCTTTTGGATGTGTCCCTCTGACTG